AAGTGCCCCCTGTGACATCATCAGCGACTATAAGTCATGTTTTATCCTCTGGAGATGAGGCTTTTATTCTGAAGCAGCCATTATCTGTGTTTCCTGTTTCCTGCTGTTTTTACCCAGATCCATGAAATGGTTTAGACTTTGGATGCTTTATTTGATGTCGTTTCTGTGTCGTCAGTGTAAACTCTGTAGCTTAAGAGATGAGCACAGAGCCGGATTCTTCTCCTCGGAGTTAAATCCCGGATGTTTTCCTCCCTCTGGATGAAAATTTTCCGCTCTTTGTTTCTTAAACTGTGGATTTCCATCCTGACGGGGTCGTAGACTTTTTTATTTCTGGAAGGTCTGTGCTTCAGAAAGGAAATAGGTTTGTCTCAATTAGTCTCCATCCCAGGGAGAGGAACGCCTTCCCTCTCATCTGGGTCCCAGGCCGGAACGCCTGAAATCCTCGGGTTTACCCATAATCCTTTATTCCACCGAGCGGTTTTGCCCTTCGCTTTGACCTGCCTCGAAGCAGCTGAAGAGTTTTGTTCTGAAACGAAAAATCAGCCGTTTGAAAAGCATCTCGAGCGCCGTGACTGACAGGAAGTGGTGACGGCGCGCTCTTAAACTGACAGCGTCGGGCTCAGAGATCATTTCAGGTGATTTTAGAGTGTTTATGTAGAAAACATCAGTGTGAACATTTGAACTGTTTAATCAATCTGAGGTTGTGCTCTAGCTCAGGTTTTCAATAATAATAAATGTCAGACGTTCGATTTATGAAAGACAAAAACACCTGATGACGGCGCTCCGACTGACACACCTGAACAGGCTCGTGTTTACAGTTCGCTGCAGTTCCTCTGACGTCCAGCAGGGGCTCCATCCCCCACACTGCCATGTTAAAGCCTTACAGCAGAAATGAACATGTTTACACCCTGACAAAAAAACTGTTTGGGCCTCTGTGTCTGTTTTACCACTCGATGTTTGGGGGCGTGGCCTCTTGGACTCACCTGTGGTAACTGGATTTCCGGAGCTTGACCCGTGCACCGTGTTCACGTCTGAGCTCCGGCTCTGAGGATTGAAATTCCTGGATTTTATTGGGATGTCTTCCACCCAAACAAACACCTGTGAGCGACTCGGGGCCGGTCCACCTCTGACTCTCATCAAATGTGGGAATGTTGTTAGGAGGAACGCTGCTCGCCTCTCCAGCAGAGTTTCACAGACTTGCAGAATCGATAGCAGCACTGTTCTGGCCGGCAGCCTGCTCTCCAGTCTGAGTGCAGTCCTGCTGGACTCGGTCTCTACCCCCGCTTATTACTGTGCAATCCATGGAAATTTATTTTCAGTTGCAATTATGGCTTACAGCAATTATGGAAGCAACATAATCAAGACAGAGCAATTATTTCCTTTTTTGCAGTGCAGCTCTCATTGGTTATGAGTTATCGCCTGATTAATCCTGATCAAACGATGATGACTGTATCTGTTACTGTTATATACCACCGCGCTGATTTCCATCCATCCTCTGCTCTGAGAAGTTAAACCTGAAGGAGTCTGAGGAGTCGGGCTCAGCTGCCCAAACTCTTGTTGGGCATTTTGTCTACACGTGGCTTCGTTTACACACAGGAGGAGGTGGTCATACCTGCTGAAGGGCTGCAAACCCACAAACAGCAGCTTTAGTCCATCTGCTGCCTTCAGGGAATCACAGAGAGACCAGAGCAGAGCTTTGCCCTCCGATCAATGAAGACTCACAAT